CTCCCACCAGTGTACCGACCAGGCTCTGGCCTGCTTAGCTTTAGCGAGGAACCAGACTCTGCCTACTGCATGCCACAGCTGCGTTCATAGCCTGTGCCTGAATAAAGCTGCTCTAATAGAGGGGTAGCACATCCTGAAAAACTCAATTCGGCCATCAGGATGAGCTACCAGCTTAAACACTGAGGAAAAATTCATATTTAAGGTGGGAATTCGTTACAACAGAATGTCAGGAGGCCAGTTTAATGCCTCATCTGCAGGATGCTCCTTGGAATTTTGCACCCATTCAAGCCAGGGAATGATCACCCCCTGCTGGATGGACTAAAACTAGCTGCAGCAGCATGTTTTCACAAATGGTCTCCCACCAGTGTACTGACTAGGCTCTGGCCTGCTTAGCTTTAGTGAGGAACTAGACGCTGCCTACTGCATGCCACAGCTGCATTCGTAGCCTGCGTCTTAATAAAGCTGCTCTAATAGAGGGGTGGCACATCCTGATAAGCTCAATGCAGCCATCAGGATGCGCTACCAGCTTAGATCAACCTGCTCTGTGTTTGCTAAAGGCCCTGGTTAATCTCTGCCCATTACTATGGTAACCGCATTAGCAGAAGGCCTGAGCAACATCTTAATCCTTGAATATTTTCCTTGTTTTTAACCCATAAAACTCTTTGTGAACTTGTTGCTATAACTTCAGTTACATTTAATACCTTACAGTTACAAAACCAGAGGAGAAAAGTCTGATCACGCCTGGGTAGAAATACCCTCTCATTGATGTAGATAAGGCTGTTTTGTATTTAGCATGTTTCTCTCACTTTCTCACTAAGGATGTTTACATACCGAACATGAACTGAACAGAAAAGACTATTTTTGATCTATTGTTTCACTCATGATAGTGTTAAGGTTCTCCTGCTGTCTGGAGGGAATCCAAACACATTGCTAGGTAAGGCTGGAGAGCAGAGGGGCCGGACAAGGCTTAGACATTAATTATTTAGCCGTGAAAGGGGAGGGAAAAGCAAGTGCTGAACTCTCCTATAGGGAAATACAAGCTCAGAGGAAAACTTTCTGTCAGTCATACTAGAAACACTCGTGAGGACAGACTTAGGGACACATTTAAACTTGATGATTCCTTTTTTCTTTCAATAAGTAAGTCACCTGCGTTAGGAAGTCAAGATGTTTGCGGTCCATTTGCTGTCCTTCTACTTTTCAAAGCTTCAGGAGGATCAGGTCAAGAAGGTAATTGTTCATAAAATCTCTTCACTTGTTAAAATATGTTTTTAGACATGGTGTCTTATCAGAAGTTTCTACAAAATAATGCCCTGTATGCATTGATAAAGTATTTTGCTTTTTATTCACTTCTTGTTTTGGTGTCTGTGATGTTCTTTGCCGTTTTGTGTTTTTCTGCGCTGACAGTAAGAGTTTAACTCAGTGATCAGTGAATTGTCAGATGTAGCCTTGTGTTCAAGATGAATGTGATTTCACTGCGGCCTGTGGAATCATTAACTCTTCTCACACATGCTTTCTGTGGCCAGATAACTGACTGCATGAGGAGAGAGAGAGGACCTTGACCTACTCATCTGCATTTATTGAACTGATTTTCATTTCCATAAAAGTTCACACCTTTTGAGAGCCAAAATGTAAACAATGACTATTTTGTTGTAGATTTTTTTTTTACTATTTAATCTCTCCTTTTCAGTAGTACTATGAAGTTATCTGTTATACTTCACCAGTTAAAAACACACCTACTCACTCTTTATTATTACATTTTATACGTTTTATAATAACAGTAAAGTCATCGGAGCGCTGCAGTAACACAAAAGGAAGGATGGGAATTATATAGGGAGCAAAAGTACATCCAGGGATCCTTTTTAAAGAGTATCGAAGGAGTTCCTATGAATGCTGGATACTTGTTCCACTGCTTTTCCTTGATATGTTCATGTTTGTCGAATAAATATAAAAGTAAAAGTTTTTTTTAAAAGAGCTCCATAGACAGCTTAAATTTGACTGCAAAACTAATCTCGAGTGTTCAAGTGTAAGCCTTTGGATCAAATGTATGTCCACGTGTTCATGGATAGTTAAGACTGTCATTTTACAACAGTATCATTTTTATCGCCAGAAACACACCTACATTATCTTTCAATATGTTATATCATTGCATGTCACTGATAGTATTACTTTTTGCTTGGTAATTTTCATAAAGCTGCTCTAATAGAGGGGTAGCACATCCTGAAAAACTCAATTCGGCCATCAGGATGAGCTACCAGCTTAAACACTGAGGAAAAATTCATATTTAAGGTGGGAATTCGTTACAACAGAATGTCAGGAGGCCAGTTTAATGCCTCATCTGCAGGATGCTCCTTGGAATTTTGCACCCATTCAAGCCAGGGAATGATCACCCCCTGCTGGATGGACTAAAACTAGCTGCAGCAGCATGTTTTCACAAATGGTCTCCCACCAGTGTACTGACTAGGCTCTGGCCTGCTTAGCTTTAGTGAGGAACTAGACGCTGCCTACTGCATGCCACAGCTGCATTCGTAGCCTGCGTCTTAATAAAGCTGCTCTAATAGAGGGGTGGCACATCCTGATAAGCTCAATGCAGCCATCAGGATGCGCTACCAGCTTAGATCAACCTGCTCTGTGTTTGCTAAAGGCCCTGGTTAATCTCTGCCCATTACTATGGTAACCGCATTAGCAGAAGGCCTGAGCAACATCTTAATCCTTGAATATTTTCCTTGTTTTTAACCCATAAAACTCTTTGTGAACTTGTTGCTATAACTTCAGTTACATTTAATACCTTACAGTTACAAAACCAGAGGAGAAAAGTCTGATCACGCCTGGGTAGAAATACCCTCTCATTGATGTAGATAAGGCTGTTTTGTATTTAGCATGTTTCTCTCACTTTCTCACTAAGGATGTTTACATACCGAACATGAACTGAACAGAAAAGACTCTTTTTGATCTATTGTTTCACTCATGATAGTGTTAAGGTTCTCCTGCTGTCTGGAGGGAATCCAAACACATTGCTAGGTAAGGCTGGAGAGCAGAGGGGCCGGACAAGGCTTAGACATTAATTATTTAGCCGTGAAAGGGGAGGGAAAAGCAAGTGCTGAACTCTCCTATAGGGAAATACAAGCTCAGAGGAAAACTTTCTGTCAGTCATACTAGAAACACTCGTGAGGACAGACTTAGGGACACATTGAAACTTGATGATTCCTTTTTTCTTTCAATAAGTAAGTCACCTGCGTTAGGAAGTCAAGATGTTTGCGGTCCATTTGCTGTCCTTCTACTTTTCAAAGCTTCAGGAGGATCAGGTCAAGAAGGTAATTGTTCATAAAATCTCTTCACTTGTTAAAATATGTTTTTAGACATGGTGTCTTATCAGAAGTTTCTACAAAATAATGCCCTGTATGCATTGATAAAGTATTTTGCTTTTTATTCACTTCTTGTTTTGGTGTCTGTGATGTTCTTTGCCGTTTTGTGTTTTTCTGCGCTGACAGTAAGAGTTTAACTCAGTGATCAGTGAATTGTCAGATGCAGCCTTGTGTTCAAGATGAATGTGATTTCACTGCGGCCTGTGGAATCATTAACTCTTCTCACACATGCTTTCTGTGGCCAGATAACTGACTGCATGAGGAGAGAGAGAGGACCTTGACCTACTCATCTGCATTTATTGAACTGATTTTCATTTCCATAAAAGTTCACACCTTTTGAGAGCCAAAATGTAAACAATGACTATTTTGTTGTAGATTTTTTTTTTACCATTTAATCTCTCCTTTTCAGTAGTACTATGAAGTTATCTGTTATACTTCACCAGTTAAAGACACACCTACTCACTCTTTATTATTACATTTTATACGTTTTATAATAACAGTAAAGTCATCGGAGCGCTGCAGTAACACAAAAGGAAGGATGGGAATTATATAGGGAGCAAAAGTACATCCAGGGATCCTTTTTAAAGAGTATCGAAGGAGTTCCTATGAATGCTGGATACTTGTTCCACTGCTTTTCCTTGATATGTTCATGTTTGTCGAATAAATATAAAAGTAAAAGTTTTTTTTAAAAGAGCTCCATAGACAGCTTAAATTTGACTGCAAAACTAATCTCGAGTGTTCAAGTGTAAGCCTTTGGATCAAATGTATGTCCACGTGTTCATGGATAGTTAAGACTGTCATTTTACAACAGTATCATTTTTATCGCCAGAAACACACCTACATTATCTTTCAATATGTTATATCATTGCATGTCACTGATAGTATTACTTTTTGCTTGGTAATTTTCACATTGTCATTTCTTCAACATGTTGAAATACATTTTAATATTGTTATTTCTCAATATTTTGTCTATTTATCATTTGTTTTACCCTGTTATTCAGTCACTTATTCCACAGCATTTCATTTTATTCAATGTTTGGAATAAGAAAGTGTGAAGGAAACAAAGCCAGGCATCAGAAGAAAACTTGCAGTATTTAAAATAATTGTGTTTCTCAACAGGTAGACCGATATCTGTACGCAATGCATCTGTCAGATGATCAGCTCGCGGATATATCAGCTCGGTTTCGACGGGAGATGGAGAAAGGACTGTCAAATGAGAGCAATGCTACAGCTGCAGTGAAGATGCTGCCGACCCACGTTTATTCCACACCTGATGGCTCAGGTACACTGACATACACATGAACTATTTTCACATGCACCAGAAAAGGCAGAACCACTGCAATTGAGAAATATTAAATAATTAAAATCTGTTAATGTGGCTTTAGATATTTTCCCTTTCATATATTTCTACTGCAGAGAAGGGTGAGTTTCTGGCACTGGATCTGGGGGGTTCAAAATTTAAGGTGCTACAGGTGAAGGTTTCAGAAGATGGGAAGGGGAAAGTCCAGATGGAGAGTGAAACCTTTCCCATCCCTGAAGAGATCCTTAATGGCAGAGGAACTGAGGTGATCATCGCTTCACAAATAGGAGTTGTAACAATAAGGAATCCATTGCAGATTACAAGCTGTTTCCAGTGGATTATGATTATGACATTAATAAGAAAAGACTGAAGAGACTTTGGAATCAGTTCTCATAATTATACCAATGGAAATATAGCAATTACGTATTTATTCATGCGTTGCTCTTGTGCAATAAACAATGAAAGCTGACTTTGATCCTGAATGAATGGCAGATTATTCTAACTGAAAATGTATTTCTCTTGCAGCTTTTTGAGCATGTAGCAGAATCTTTGAAGTCTTTTCTACAGCAACACCACATTAATCACACAAGAAAACCTCTCGGCTTCACCTTCTCTTTCCCATGTGTGCAGTCCAAAATAGATGAGGTACAGTTGAACTCCAACAGGTTTATATAAAATGTCATGTTAATTCAGCCTGTTTTAATTCAATCAATGTGCTCAAGTCAATAAGATGTTGATTAAAGGTGATCTTTTTATCAGTACACCAGTAAAACAGAAGAAGATACATTCATATAAGCTGATCTCCTCACTGACACATTTTGTTTGTGTCAACACAGGGTGTCTTGCTGTCATGGTCAAAGAATTTCAAGGCTAGAGGTGTTCAAGGGAACAATGTGGTGCAGTTATTACGGAAAGCCATTCAAAAAGTTGGGGTATGAATACCATTTTCTTCTATCACCATTTGCATTGAATAAAATGTGAAAACTACTCTAGGTAGAAGTCATAACTGTAGCCAGCTGGAATTGGTGATTCAGGTTCATGTTTTTCAATTGAGATTTTCTGTTGTGTGTGTGAAGGATGTTGACGTGGATGTCCTGGCTATGGTCAATGACACAGTGGGGGCCATGATGACCTGCGGATATGATGACCAGAACTGTGAGGTGGGGGTTATTATAGGTAAGGCCTCACTGGACACTTTTCTCACAATCTAAAAAAGAAATATAATGTATTGCTTCAAATGGCAGAAGACCTTTAAAACTTTTCTTTACATGCAAAGATAAAGAAAAATAAATGTTTAATTTTTACCTTGCATTTCTTCAGGTACCGGCACTAATGCTTGCTACATGGAGGAAATGCGACACATTGATCTGGTGGAAGGAGATGAAGGCAGGATGTGTATTAATACTGAATGGGGAGCATTTGGAGATGATGGTGTGCTTGATGATTTCATTACAAGCTTTGACCGTGAAATTGATGCCGCCTCAATTAATCCAGGAAAACAGCTGTAAGTGCTTATTAATGGGCAAGTCTTCAGACTGCTTTAACACAGAGGTGCCCAAACCAGGTCCTGTGGGCCAAAGCCGGCTCATAATGACCTCTGATTTGGCCTGTCATGCCATATTACAAAAGCAGGAAAAAAGGTGCAGTTGAAACATTGAAACTGCCATTAGCTCTGTTTACATCCAAAGATGCGAATTTAATTTATGCGCAAAACTAGAATATTGCATAAAACATTTGCAAATAAAGCACCATCCAAGTTTCCATCCAATGAGTCAAAGAAAACTAAATCGTCACTTCCTGATAAACTGGCAATAAATATCACTAATAAAAGTAGTTGAAGCCACTGAATATAATAATTTTTATATATGATAAATTACTTGCGCCTCAGAGCGAGCAGACGAAACACAATAAATGTTGTCATTGCTTTCGGAGGTGGATGCCTACTGTTTTAATTGTCGTGTAAGACAGTTAAACAGAAATACTTTGATGACAGATTTTGCTCAGGCATTTCAGAACGACCATAACATATCAGATGCTATTGGGCGCATATGTTTTTTATGTGCAAAAACTAAATCGTCACTTCCTGATAAACTGGCAATAAATATCACTAATAAAAGTAGTTGAAGCCACTGAATATAATAATTTTTATATATGATAAATTACTTGCGCCTCAGAGCGAGCAGACGAAACACAATAAATGTTGTCATTGCTTTCGGAGGTGGATGCCTACTGTTTTAATTGTCGTGTAAGACAATTAAACAGAAATACTTTGATGACAGATTTTGCTCAGGCATTTCAGAACGACCATAACATATCAGATGCTATTGGGCGCATATGTTTTTTATGTGCATTTTTTTTAGAATTTATGTGCATCTTTTTTTATGTGATATTGCAAAATGCGCATAAAAATAGGTGGATGGAATCATAGCTATTAAAACTAAACATTTAAAATGTATGTTTTTGCTTTTTTGCATTAAAGTGTACAGAATGAATTTGATTAAAAATAATAATTTAAATATAATATTGTTGGATGTAATGCAGTATTTAACTTTAGTCCCAAGTTTTTAATCATTTAATCATTTTAATCAAAAATCTAGTTTTATTTTTGGACCTTCATAGTAAAAAGATTTGGGCACCTCTGATTTCAGATTATTCCTACAATGTCAGAATCAGAAGAATCAGAAAGAGCTTTTATTGCAAAGCATGCTTGCGCATACAAGGAATTTGTTTTAGTGACATAAGCTTCCAGTACACAGAGACAGCAACAACACACAGACAATAAAAAATAAGATGAGAATAAAAAAAAATACACATATGTAAATATAAATACTGTAAAAATAAATAAATTGTATGTACAGTTGTGCTATAGATGATAGAATAGAATGAGATGCAGTGATGTACTAGGATGGAGGTGGTAACAAATAAATATAAGGTTATTGCACATTTTTATTGCATAATGTGGGGAACATTTAACTGTTCATGAGGTAGATTGCCTGGGGGGAAGAAACTGTTCTTGTGCCTGGCTGTCCTGGTATTTCCGGCTCTGTAGCGCCAGCCAGATTTTCTGAGCCCTTTTCCTCATTTTGGATGTATACAGTTCCTGAAGGGTGGGCAGGGGAGCACCAATAATCCTTTCAGCGGTCCGAAGTGTTCTCTGTAGTCTTCTGATGTCTGATTTTGTAGCTGAACCAAACCAGACAGTTATTGAAGTGCACAGGACAGACTCAATGCCGGCTGAGTAGAACTGTTTCAGCAGCTCCTGTGGTGTGCATTCAATTTTTTCACCAAGTTTTATAGTCTATGTATTACCTTTGTAACTTTGGTTGTGTCATTCCCAGTTTTGAAAAGATGGTGAGTGGGATGTACATGGGAGAGCTTGTGAGACTCATTTTGCTGAAGATGGCCAAAAAGGGGCTACTCTTTCGTGGCCAAATATCTGATGCTCTCCGAACCAAGGGAACTTTCCAGACCAAACATATCTGCTTGATTGAACAGTAAGATTACATACAAATATGAACTATATAAATGGATCTTAAATGGGAAAAAATAAGCATTATTTTTTTGTGTGTCTATGCGGAATCCTATGCCTAACCTATTATGACTGATTTAAAGTTCTCAATCTTCAAGTTTTAGTGATTATTTGTGAATTTTCCCTTCTGAGTAGATTAGATTAGATCAGCATGAATTTCCATCCTGGCTCAATCTAGTTGGTGGTTTGTGCTGGTCTAGATGGGGTTTAAATGTACATTCTAACTGAGGATGTTTCCAGGTATAAAGGCGGTTTGGAGAACACTAAGAATTCCTATCCTAACAAATCATACATCAATGGAAAGCTTATTTATTCATGTATAAATCTCAATTTCGAGAAATTGACCCTTATGACTGGCTTTGTGGTCTAGGGTCACATATGTGCCATCGGGTGCATTGGCAGAAAAGTGTTCATTTATTACTTTTTATTATTATAATTTTATTTTAAATGTATTAATTAGTGCAATAAAGACTGCACTGATGTTCATGGTGTTCAGCATCGTTTTACTCTCACTGTACATTGCCTCTTTTAAGGCCTTTTTTCTTGTTGTGCTTTTGTTCAGACTCAGTGAGCGGTTTGCATGGCCAGTCAGAGTGAAAGGCTCACAGAGGCCAAATTAAAGGGGGCAGTGGCTGTGTGCAGAGGAATGTATGTTGCTCTGTGATGGTGTCTGAAAAGCTTGGAGACTAAACAACCATATTAAATCAGCAACTGCTACTGTACTTTGAAAATATATATATTTTTGAGTAGTAGAAGCAAATTAGAATCAAATTCAAAGTTTTTTTTCTGGACTGTGAAAATGACTTAAATATTTTATTTAAAACTTAATTATTTTTTAAGGAACAGTTAAGGAAAGTCAACATTTTAATTCTCTGTGTGTGTGTGTGTGTGTGTGGACCTTGTTTATTATACTTTTTTTTTTTTTGAAGATCCAGTCCACATTCATTGTAATTCTAAGGAAAAGAGTGAGTAGTACACTACCGTTCAAAAAATTATTATACTTTATTCAGCAAGGGTGCATGAAATTGATCAAATCTGAAAATGATTGTTACAAAATATTTCTATTTCAAACAACTGCTGTTCTTTTAAACATTACATTTAGCAAATAATCCTGTTAGCAAATAATCACTGTTTTAACAATTTTTTGACCAAATAAATGCAGCATTGGTGAGCAAAAGATACATTTTTTTCAAAAACATTTCAAAATCTTAACAACCCCAAACTTGAACAGTACTGTATATTCTACAGCATGGACGTTTAAGAATTTTTTTGACAGCTTTTCAAAGATTTAATAGATCTGTTTGGGATAACATTAGCACATTTCCCTTTTGTGTTCTCTAATTTAAGCTCTTAAGGGATTTAACAAAGCAGTTCAACCAGGCCAGCTCCTGCTCACAAATCCTCATGGAGCAGGAAGGGAAAAGTTTACTCATCGTAATCCTTCCCGCTAATGCTAACTAGCTTCACTGCCGAACAATAGTAGCTGAAGCTAGTAGCCATGCTCTTCAGCACGTCACCGTACCTGCATGGTGCTAGCATGCATGCAGATATGCTCACTTTGTAAGAATACACTTTTTAGGTTAGCGAACTCTGCTAAATTAAGTGCAATAAAGAAAGACACTTCTCTTTGGTAACACTGTCTGTAGTCTTGATAAAAAATAATTGCATTCTGTAGCATATTGTTTACCTCTTTAATTTAACGCCATACAAAGAACAATATTTAGCACTGTTTGTTATTTGTGAAATATCAGTAAGTATTAAAAGTACAAGTTCAGTAACAGTTCTTACAATAGGACCCTTCTCAATGCGGTGGCATTGTTGTGTTATGCAAGAGCATGTGTTTAATCCGACTTGATCTCAAGGAGCCAACTAGTTCAGCTGACGGTGAGATTCTCTATCCTATTTTTTTTAAAGTAGCCCACCTACCTTCATTTATGGAAAGTGATAAGGTAACAAAAACTTCCTACATCCTGTGTCTGTTCAAATAGCTGTGTTTAGAGAACAGGCTGATATTTTGTAGTGTTTAGTTCCTTAAAAATGTTCTCCCGGGTCCTTTATATTTCATCAAAAGCCCTATGTTATTATAGTATTGGGTTACACATTAAGTTTATTTGTAATTTCTGCCATTTACAAGTATACAGTCAAATGACAAATCATTTATCCAGGTCCACAGTGGAAATTCCAGACAGATTCATGACCATTATTTTAGGCTTCATGAATTTTATGTTAGCTTAAATCATGAGCATTTCTTTTACCCCTTGTGGAAGATGAGTTTTGCTCTGCCTCAGTAAACTAAAGACTAGTTAGGAGACAGACATTCTGTGAGTTTATTCCTGTTCTTCTGGATTTTCTGTTGAGGACATGGTGTAATTAGCCTACTTCTTATAGCATTTTAGAAAGCAGCTGTTAAACAGTAAGAAAAACTTTTTTTTCACTAAAATGTATCTAATTATGCATCTCAAGTTCTAGTTCCACTGGACTGCCTTAATAAGCTAATCACAATGATCAAAATTATTCTTAAAAATCTTTAGCACATCACAGCAGTTAATCTTTCTTCTATGAGTACTTCATTAGACAAATTGCAATCTCAAAGGTTAGTCATGACCAAAATAACCCAAAAACTAAAAAAAGAGAAATACTATGAAAATAATTATCATTTGTCTTTTTTAATCAGTGTTTTTCCACACAGTACCTAAATTAAAAATATATATAATTTTTGAAAAAAATGGATGAATTGATTTATGAAACTTACTGCTTTTACTGATCTGGCTCAACCATTCCGCCTTATGAGGAATATTAAAAAGCATATCTAAAAATTAACCTGAATTCATATTAAACTGGTTAAGAACTGGCCAGTGTCCTTGAAAAAGAAAACTGACCTCTGTCACGGTATGTGACCGCTCATTCATGCATGAACATTTAGCTGTCAAGGGGTGTAGTAGGTCTACTGGGTAGGTCATTTGTGAGAATGTCAGACAT